CCTCTGTTCTTCAAGGATGCCCATCAGTTCTGCTTGTCAAGGGCAGAGCTAGTAAAGGGAAAGCACTGGAAATGTGTTTTCCAAAGGTAGCAGTAAGTGGGGTGTGATAGACACAACAGAACTCAAATCACCCTTAACGAGCTTGAAGGAGCGGGTGTAAGGGGCCCTGACAGAATCACAGCACACGAGAACTGGAAGGGACCTCGAGAAGTCATCGAGTCCAGTCCCCTGCCCTCACAGCAGGACCAAGCACTGTCTAGACCATCCCTGACAGGTGTCTGTCCAGCCTGCTCTTAAATATCTCCAGGGATGGAGATTCTACAACTTCCTTAGGCAACTTATTCCAGTGTGTAACCACCCTGACAGAAAGTTTTTCCTAATGTCCAACCTCAACCTCCCTTGCTGCAATTTAAGCCCATTGCTTCTTGTCCTATCCTCAGAGACCAAGGAGAACAATTCTTCTCCCTCCTCCTTGTAATACCCTTTTAGATACTTGAAAACCGCTATCATGTCCCCTCTCAGTCTTCTCCTTTTGCTATCAATTCTTTCAGCCTTCCCTCATAGCTCATGTTCTCTAGACCTTTAATCATTCTTGTTGCTCTTCTCTGGACCTTCTCCAATTTCTCCACATCTTTCTTGAAATGTGGTGCCCAGAACTGGACGCAATACTCCAATTGAGGCCTAACCAGCGCAGAGCAGAGCGGAAGAATGACTTCTCGTGTCTTGCTCACGACACTCCTGTTAATGCCTCCCAGAATCATGTTTGCTTTTTTTGCAACAGTGTCATACTGTTGACTCATATTTAGCTTGTGCTCCACTATGAGCCCTAGATCCCTTTCTGCCGTACTCCTTCCTTGACTGATGTGCAAGTCAAACATCTGATTCACTTCAAACAGCACTGTTTCCCTTTTTCAATTCCACTTGCCAGAAAAAGGTTTCCTTCTCTTCCCCTCAGCCCCAGACGTCTCCCTCTCAAATAGCCAGAGCTCCAGGAAGGGCAAAATTCAGTCCTGCACATGGGACCAATTTAGGAACCAAAATGTTGTAACTCTTTGAGGCTCCCAACAGATTGCACAGTGCTGCATAATGCAGCCGCCCCCGACTCTTATAAATAAAACCCTTCCTATTACACCATTATGTATCCCGTATTTCTGGGAGAGAAAATACACCCAGAGAGATGCAGAGATACATGCCCGCAAGCATACGGAGCAGAGAGCCCGGCCTCTCCTTTGACAACCCAGGCTACGTCTGCACACATATCCGTTTTCACTCTTCTGACAGGCTGAACTGAAGACGACGAAGCTGTAATCATGTTAACACCAGCGTACGCGACCTGGTCAGTGAGGTGCTGGGATTGCACAGTGGGTTACTCGAGGCACCTGTATTAATGCACAGTTCCAACACAACAAGGGGCTGTGGGGAAAAACAATCAGGGCAATACACCTGGACCCAGACTAGCCACCTCGAAAAGCTGAAAAGATAACTGGGGAGCCCATTAGCTTTGAGCATCCGAGATCTTGTCGCTGAAGAAAAGGCACAGATTCTGGGAGCGGAGAGACCATGAGACTGCTCCACAGTGACTCGCGGGGAGGGTGGCCCCTCCGACAAGCGCCGTCCTTAGGCAAAGGCCGGTGAGTGGCTAGGCTGCTTCTGTTTTAAGATCTGTTGTCTCTGAAACGTGTCTGGGGTAAATACCGTGGTTTGGGCAGCAGGCAGGCACCGAGGCCTGGTCTGAGGGGGCAGGCTGCATGATTCCACCCCAAGCCAGAGGTGAAGGCAAAAGGCCCAAGACTGGAGGGAGGTGAACTGAGGTGAGAATTCAGCACCAGTCAGAACCATTACCTCAGCCCACCGCCCTAGGCCTCACCTTGGCGGATCACCTGCTAAGACTTTTCTCAAGTTTCGACTGAGTGCACCGAGGCAGGAACAGCCTTGGTTTGAATAACTTCTATGGCCCTTCACGCCAGAGAGCCCAGGTCTCCTGTGGCCCGGCATGGCCCCCTCTCCGAGGACCATGACAAGCCTCAGAAGAATTGGTGTTTTTCTTTAAAAAGTAACTTGCCAGCCCTCGCAGCTGTTGAGAGGCCCTTGGAAACCCGACCCGAAAAGCTCCAAACCCAGCACCAACAGAACCCCACGCGGGTTACTGCCGAAAAGCCTGCAGGTTTCAAAACCAAATGCACAATGATTTTTAGGGTGATTCTGGAATTTGTGGGGTTGGTGATGCTTGCGCAGCGGAGGTGGGGGCGCTACTCCTCTCCTGGGGTTTCCTCTCTGTGGGGTGAAGCAAGCTGGTGGATGTGAATCAACAGCTCCCATCAGAGGAAACGATCTTTTCCCGGGAAATCTTTCCACTCGGGCTCTATTCTCCTGCCGCTTACAGAGTCTGTACAGAGCACGTCCCACTGCATTGAAGTCTGGGCTGCCATGAGTGCGCCTAATTACTCATAAGGGTCGTAAGAATGAAACCCATGCTGAGCAGGCAGCTTAAAGCCGACCGCTGTCATTAACAACACTGCTATCTCTTCTCTCTTCCAAACTGGATGCTCCACGACCCTCCCACCCCTGGGCCCCAACCCGGCACATGGGAACCTGCAGCTTGCTGCTATTGCCAATGGATGGGATTTGAGCCTGGGCCTACCCGGCACGTGGGAACCTGCAGTCTTCATTCCTCGAGTCCAGCCCTGCAGAGAATGGCCTAGGGCAGAGACCTGGGTGCGTGTCGGGCGCGCCGTACAGACGTGTCGCCCAACAGCCTGTCGCATGAGGTCCTGCATGTCACTTCAGCTAGTGCTACCTGCAAACGGGTGTCAAGGAACCAAGCCAGATGATGTGGTTAGGCCATTTCTGAGGAACTACTACCGCAGCGCTCTCACAAGGTGCAGGAAGTGCTAGATTGGACTATCACACAGCATGTTTACTGGGCCCCTTTTCGCTTGACAAGCGAACGTTATACAATGTAAAGTCAACATATTAATCTCTTTATCCAAAATAGCTGTCCGACCACTGGCTGCACTTCAAAAGTTTGAAGGGCACAGGGAACGCTCACTTTTCTCTTTGCTGATAAAAGCATATTTCAGGCTACCCCGGTTAGCAGGCATGTGCATGAATATTTGAAAGGTGCTATATAAGTGAGGAACCAATTGATGACCACGGATTAACAAGAACAAAGCTTAAATGCAACTTGGATGTTTGCACTTCCTATCACAATGGAACAAAGGGGAGCATGCTAAGGTTCAAAACTGCAATAATACGGGTTAGACAATGTCAAAGAGGACATGGCCACGGTCTTAATTTATGCACACATACTTTCACTAGTTCACCTAGCTATTGTCCCTAAGGCTTTTCAAGCAAAACTTCAAGTTCAGTGGGAAGTTTTTAAGATCACAAAATAACCAGATTCTGTCTCGCAATTTCAACAGCAGGAAACACATGCCGCTTTAGCACTAGGGGCATAAACTCAGAGTTTTCAAAAGTGACGAGTGATTTGGAGTGTGTCAATTTTTCAGAACTGACCCCTTTTCAGAAAGTGCCCTCTGAAAAATCACTCTTGTAAGATGTGATGGAGGGACTGGCATGGTGAAGGAGGGGATGGTCTGAGGAAGGTGCCTACAATGGCATATGACCCCTCTGGGACTGTTAAAACTAAGTATCTTTAAATGACCAGAGATGGGGCACGTGATGAGGAGGGTTCGGCATTACTACTGCAAATATTTTCCCAGGTGTCTGGCGGGTGGGTCTCCTCATGTGCTCAAGGTCTAACTAATCACCATATTTGGGGCCAGGAAGACATTTTCTCACGGGTCAGAGACCCTGTGGGGTTTTCACTTTCCTTCCTGCACTAGGTTACACTAGAGAAAATCGTGGATTCTCTGTAACTTGGGGTCTCGATTTCAAGATCTGAGGACACCAATAAACACAGCCAGAAGTCAGGCCTGACTGCAGGGGAGAGCGACTGAGGTTCTGTGGCCTGTGATGGGCAGCAGGTCAGACTAGATGACCATGATGGTCCCCTCTATGTCCCGGGTTGGGAACCTCCAGTTTAGTGCACTCAAAAATTGGTAGTCACTGCTGAAAAACCTGGACTGAGGCTTCCAATGGGTGGATCAGGATAACTTTTCTGTTGTCTCTGTTGCTGGGAAGGATCTGTTAATTCAGCAGACTTAAAAAGGTTTCCCACTATGAACTTTACTGTTGCAAGGAATAGTGCAATTGCATTCATCGAGACAATCACTAGCAAAAGACTTTGCTCTTTAACTCACACATGATTTGCCCACGGTGCATCTTTTCATAACTCTTGAAATCACCTCCAATCCCCAACTCTCTCTAGGCACCAGTCTCCAAATATTTGGGCTGCTTGTAACGTATTTGGTGTGGTGCAGCTGGACCCCGGTCACAGGGAAACGCAGCCGAGGCTGATCAATTACTGAAAATGAGGTCTTTATTTAAAAGCATCTTTCAGAGATCCGTACTGAATTCAAAGCCAGCATGCGCTGCACACAAGCTACAAGTTTTGCTGTTGTAGGATGGTTTTGGACTCTGCTTTTCTCATTTCACTTTCATTTACTATCGATATTCTGAGTTCTCCATTTCGGGCGTAGCCATGACCTACAGTCTCAAAATGCTCCAGATAATGCACACACATTCACAAACTCCCTCCTTTCTCTGCCCCAAGTTTGACAGTCTGTGCATTTATACCAGTTGTCAGAATGCAATACAAAACATAACCGTGGCAAAGTTAAAAGTTTTCTCTGTCTCTACCACCACTGCTGGGACCGTACACAGGAAACTTCCTCATACTTCCAGTGTTTGATTCAGGCGGAATTAAACATTTGCAGCATGCTAAGCATTAGCTAAACTAGATTCTACATAGACAACATTCTCCCTGCAGAAAAGTAGTTGTTATACTCATCTCCCCTAGTCCACCCACTTGAAATGACTCAGGAAGAGAATGATAGCAAAGGGAGATTAAGCAATGCACATGTTAAAACAGTCCTCACCTTTAGAGAGTCAAAGCAGGCAATAACGCGACCATTTTCCACATGGCAACTCCGTGACGGATGGGCAAACTTGCATTCTGCATCAGATCGAGAACAAGTACCTCTCTGAAATTCTCGACATACTTCTAAAGTCAGCCATTTTGTATCACGAACCAGGGAAACGTTTACAGCCATATTAAAAACAAAAATTAAAACGCAAGCAATCACACCCTTCTTTAGGACAATATTTCGGCTGATTTTTTTTTTTTAAAAAAGGGTAAAAAAGTGAATTCAAGTTAAAGGTGAAGAAATAACGAACTTGTTGCTTTGGTAAAACTTCTATTCGTCAGCACTTAGGTTTTCATTTAAGTCAAATTGGGTTTGTTTCAACAAGAATTAAACATAAAGCCAATCATAAAATAGAAATCTTATCAGAAGAACTGAAAATCAAATGAGAGGCCTGCTCCTAAAAGTGCAATTGTAGAAGTTAAAATATAAGTGTTATATTTTGTGCCACTGCCAAAGTTACTTGAAAATAACTGGCAGACTTTCAAAAGAATTCTGTGCTCTCCAGTTAATGGTTTCAATTATTCTTGCAAAAAGCATACGCAGCTGGCAACGCTCCTGTTTGCGGAATGGTCTCAGTCCTTGGGCAGAAAACTTTTTTTTCCTTTTATTTCTTGGTTCTAAAAATTACGATTTGCGAGCATTCAAAGGAACGAAAGGATGTTATAACTGTCGAAAAATATTTGCTACATACTCAGGAAGGGGAAAAAAATGGCTGAGCGAACAGAGTGTCAAAAGGGGGGGGGGAGAAGGGGGTGGATGAGTTGCCGTTAGGGTATGAACTGCAAGCAACGCCAAATTAAAAAAAAAAGGGGAGAGGTGGGGGGAGAGAGAGAGGCAGCCTTAGACAGAAATCCAAGCAGCAGTGGCTTCAGGAAAGGCACTTTTCAGCAACCTGTAGGAAAAAGAGAAATAGAATCAGCTAAAACAATGCAATCTCCCCTTGCTGAACTCTAGCGTTCAGAAACAACTGTGTGCATTTGAACAGGAAATCTGCAGCTACTGACAGTGCGGCATAGTGCAGTCAGCCATTGTAGATAAAAAGGGCATTTCCCACATGAGGCTGCGCATGGTAAGAGGAAGCAACCAATTAGATTGACTGTTGCAGCGGCAGGCCTGGGCAGCCACCCAATAAAAGGGATCGTTTCAGATTGATCTATTCTGGCAGACATTCGGTTTTGTGCCCACTGCACAGAAAATGCCTTAGTCCTTCCATGACGGCCTCCGACGCGCTGGGGAGACAGCTCTGCGTTTCAAACGTAAGGAGCTTAGTCCAGGGAGTCGTTTCCTGGGCTGCTCCCAAGAGGAGGTGTGGGTTACATACCTGCTCCTGAAATCCGGAGGATAAGAACCGCGAGGAACGCGAACCTACTGTAAGCACCAGCTGCATATTTCTCCCTCTTTAAAGAGGGCAGCTAGTGGCTGTGTACCACCATCAGAATGCAGCTCGACAGAGACGCGGTAACCCACGAGCCGGGGGGAGTACAGTCACCGCTGAACGGCTTTCAGACAAAGGCGACAAATTGTCGTTCTGTGGGGTTTTTTAAATATATTAAAAATTGCTTTTCCCCCCCTCGAGAGGAGGCTGTCTGGCAGGAAGAGCAGCTATGGCTTTCATTGTGTACAAAGCAGAAGGCACTGCCAGGGCTCAGCCCCTATGCGTACTCTGCTCTGCGTCCATAAGGTGTTTTATTTAACCCGCTGTTAACTGGGAACGCAGTTCAGCTGGTGGCTGTAAGGTTACATGGAAACGAGAGACGAATTCGCAGGCGTGGGGTCTATAAATCTGGGCTCGACAAAATCAAAAGCAAAACTGACATGGAAACTTGAGCCACATGCACAGAGCAGAAAAAAATTAACTCCTTGTTAACAGCTATCTTTGATAGCAAGGCTGAAGGAGACTTCAAATCGTTGTAATTCAGTTTCTAGCATCTTCAGCGCGTGCTGGACAATAAGTGATTTTCAATAACTTGCTATCGCAGATTTTCTTCCGGGGAAGGAGGGTACCACGTTAAATCATCCCTAAAGCATCCTGCATTTATATGTAGAGTCAGCTAATGAAGCCCGACAGAATTAAGTTGCTTCAAGGTTTCTGACATCCACCCCTTTGGCCAAACATCAGGGCCCAATCCTGCAAACATATCCATGCGTGTAAATTTACTCACAAGAGCACAAGTATGCGCACGCACAAGTGTGTGCAGGACCAGGGTCTCACACTGCAAGAAACGGAAATTTAAATTCTTTCCTATTTTATAGGCATGTTCTCAGAATGACCCTTGTTAGCAATGTATGCATTTCCAAATAACTCAAAGCGCACTCCCAGTGTTTGGCAAAAGCACTGAAGGAAGACACTGTTGTGATATTTTTCTTTTTTTACAGCAAACACTAACATTGTGCAAAGTAAATACCGCTTTGCAGCACAGGGTCATTCGAGAGCACGTGGACTCGCCACACACAGACAGCAGCGCTAGAAGGACCTTCTCAATTTTGGGTATCAGGTGGCAAACAGAAACAGTAAGGCTATGTCTACACTGGCGGGTTCTTGCGCCAGAAAGATGCAAATGAGGCTAAGTGAGGAATATCGCTGCGCCTCATTTGCATAGCTAATGAGCCGCCATTTTGCGGAAAAGGCTCTTGCGCCAGAAGGAGCCACTTCTTGCGCAAGAAAAACCCTCTTGCGCAACGCCGTTATTCCTGAAAATAATCAGCGTAGCGGCACTACGCAAGAGGGTTTTTCTTGCGCAAGAAGGGGCAGTGTAGACGCTCCTTCTGGCGCAAGAGCCTCTTCCGCAAAAATGGCGGCTCATTAGATATGCAAATGAGGCGCAGCGATAAGTGACAAATTCACCAGGCGGGATTTAACCTCTGAAGGGGAGGGGCAAGAAAGCAGAACAGGCCATACTAGTGTCTTGCGGGTTTAGTCAGGAACCTGGAGACGGCTGCTATGCCGATCCCGATTTTGTAGGCAGGGCAAGTCTGTGTTTGAATCTAGTTCGTTTATGCCCAGCCCCCCAAGCCTGCTTTACTCTGCATAGATGAGCAGGCAGGCAGTAGATACATCTCCACAGAGCGCTCAGAACAAGCTGGGTGCAGCTCCCAAAACGAGCCGGCACAGGTCGAGAATGGGTGGGGATTAGGTGGGGCGCTCTTAGGAATTACTCCTAGCACACTAAAACAGAACTTGAGGGAACTGGGCCATATTCTAAAGCTTCAGACTCCAGTGGAAAGGAGGGTCTGTTTCTCTGAGCCTGCATGCTATGGGCCCAAATCCTTCACGCACCATTTGTGTGGCCACATAACAGTTAACTACCCTCCGCCCATTACGGAGGAATCTCAAAGCATATGACAAACGGCACGCTCTCCCTTTCTCTCTCCCATAGATCGCACACAGAATATTCGAGGTGGCTGGCATTTTTCCATGCTAATATTGGTTTTCAACAACACTATCCTATATGCATCTTTCCAACGATGGCTGTTTTCCCCAACTAGCTCCAATACAGAATCACACCTAGACAGACGCAGAGATTCCCTCTTACACACACCCCATCCGGCAGCACAATGCTCCCCAAAGACATCTTGCTGGGGCATCGGCGTGTTACCAACTCAGAAATACACGGAAACACACGCTCCACTATACACGGGCCACTAGTCCCACTGACGTAAAAGACGTGGCGATGCCTTGCTGAGCCCGTACCTAACTCACCCACGCTCCCGCCTAGGTTCATCTCAGACGAGAGACCTCCCAGTCCAGAGCAGTTCCAAGTGCCCAGCCGTGCTTACGCCTGAATGATGTTACAAGATCGCAGCGCAAAGACGCAGGAGTTAGGGTTCCCCACAAGTAAGCCCAGACATCACTTGCCAGCAGTGTCCCTCTAACCATGTCCATCCACATGCAGAGTTTTTCCATCCAGGGGTGGAATACATTTTGATGTGCACCGAGGCATGTGCCAACGTGCACCACCCATAGAAACACAAAACCTGGCTGTGGGCGCTCTGCTAACCAGCGGGGCGGCATCGGAATGTCTCCGGGGCGGCCGCCCAAGCGCCCAGCTTACAGGGAACACGGCTTGCCAGTTCTCGCAGTAGTTGGATTGTTGCAGATTGCCCGGGCCAAGGATACAGGTCCCTGTCCACTTTTGCCATACGGCAATGGGAAAAATCTAAACCCCCATGTTTTAACATCAGACAGAGGATTTTATACTGGTGCAAGGTAGGGATGGGGGGCAGCAGAACCCAGCACCTCCCATGCGTGGGGTTGCCGGTTCCTGCTGCTGGCAGCCCTCTGTGTGGGGTGTGGGGGCAGGAGCCAGCACCCACGTGGGCTGGGGGCTGCTCCAGCCAAGCTGGAGCGTCTCCCCCTGGAATCCCAGTTCACTGGTTACCCCTAAGAATCCCAGTTCACTGGTTACCCCTGAACTGATTAGCTGGGATGTTACATCCCTAATGCCAGGAGACTCAAATAAAACCAAAGGGGGAAAAAAGTTCAGTAAGTCCCACTGCTGACGGTATAACACGGGGTAGGAAATAAGTCGCCTGCGGGCCGGATATGATTTGCCAGGGTTAGCCTCCGGCAGGCCACCAGACACCTAAATTACCTGCGCTCCCACGGGCATGGCCGCTCACAGGTCCCGTTGGCCGCCGTTTGCCATTTCCGGCCAACAGGAGCAGCAGGAAGCGGCATGGGCCGGGCCACGGCTTGCAGCAGCTCCTATTGGCCAGGAATGGCGAGCCACAGCCAATGGGAGCTGCGAGTGGCTGTAACTGCAGGTTAAGAAAGCCGAGCTAACCCTGCAGGGCTCACCCTGGTGAATCGTGTCTGGCCTGTGGGTTGCCTATAACCCACCCCAATATGCAAATACAGCCCTTCCCCCATATTTGAATTCTCAGCAGCACACGGTTTGCTTACAACAGTTTCCACATTTCCCCGGCTCTGCATAATACCACATATTTGGTACCGACTCTTCCTTCTGCCCGTTTCAAATATGAGGGACAAAACTCCTGCCCCGCCCCAGCCAAAAACCCCCTCAGTAGAATGAAGTTAGAAAAGAGAGTCATAAAATACTGGTTGTGTTAACGTGACGCTCCGTAAAGGGGGAGCAGCTGCCGTTTGAACTGGCCCGGGGCTGCTGCAATCATGCCAGGTCTGTCTGGCAGAACTTAGGGTCCTGAGCTACCCAACGGGACCGCAGAGCCCCAACGTCGACCGAACGTCAGCAGAAAGGAGCAGCCGCACGGCTGGGCAAAGGGCGAGCGGCCAGCGACTGTCTACTGAGAAGCAGGGAAGAGGGGGCAAGCAGGCCTTTCCTCCTTCGGGAACCTACCACCACAGAACGCAACGCCTGCCCCAGCAAGGGGTCGCCACTGACTGTAAGACAGGAGGCTGTGGGCTCGCTGCGGAAATCAAAGGCCTCAGTTTTGCTGCCACTGACGTCAGCCTCCGGTAGAGTTAGTGCGTTCTGGCCATCTGAGGTAACGCAAGGACAGAGAATAGAGCAGGAACACGCTTGCTCTAGGATGTGAAACAGGAGTTTACATCCCTAACTTGCTCCATGGTCGAATTGCTGCTCCGTTCCCTATCAGCGATCCCTTTCAGGGAACCATGCACACACGCCTGACGGAGAGGCCTTTTTGTGACAGGGTTGATTCAACCAGCTCCTATCAATGATACTATTTCAAGGGCGGTTCGGCTCTGAAGAGGACTCAGTAAAATGGCATGGCGGGGGTTCCTCATTTCTTGCATCTCAGTGATTTCCAGGTCACATTGGCTCAGCTTACAAGTAAAAAAGGCCTTTTATTCTAACTGCGGGCTCTAAAAACCAGGAGTGTTGTGATTTACTCTCTACAGAAAAACACCCACTAGGAGAAAGAAAACACGGTAAAGCTTTAGGAAATGAAACATAAGAATGGCCAGACTGGGTCACAGCAAAGGTCCGACAGAGGCCATTGCCAGAAGCCCCAGAGGGAATGAACAGAACAGAGAATCATCAAGATGTGACAACAGAGGCTAGGGACACCCATTCCCACCCATCCTGGCTAATAACCATTGATGGACCTAACCTCCATGGATTTACATAGTTCTTTTTTGAACCCTGTTAAAAGCCTTGTTCTTCACAACATCCTCTGGCAAGGAGTTCCACAGGTTGGCTGTGTGTGCTGTGAAGAAATACTTCCTTTTGTTTGTTTTACACCTGCTACTTATTAATTTCATTTGTTGACCCCTAGGTCTTGTGTCATGAAAAAGAGTAAATAACTTTTCCTTATTTACTTTCTCCACACCAGTCATGACTGTATCGACCGCTATCATATCCTCCTTTAGTCTCCTCTTTTCTAAAGCTGACAAGTCTTAGTTTCATTACTCTCTCCTCATATGGCAGCCATTCCAAACCCCCTACTCATTCTGTTGCCCTTTTCTGAACAGTTTGCAATGCCAAAATCTCTCTTCC